CAGCTGCCTCCTGCACGCCCCACACTGGGGATCGAGCCCACAACCCAGGCATGTGCCCTTGACCGGGAATCAAACCGTGATCTCCTGGTTCATAGGTCGACACTCAACCATTGAGCCACACCGGCCGGGCCTTCCTGAGGTTTCCGTGCTGCCTACGAGGGAGGCTGTCTGCTTACAAGGGTCAGACTTCTTCTCCGCCTTCTGCTCCCCGGTCCCTCCCCCTGCACGTGGCCGTCAGGATTTAGTGCTCGTCCATTCATCCCCCCGGCCCCCGCCATCTCTCCCTCTCCCCTGACTTGTCACCCCACCTTTACCACCTCCTTGCCTGCTCTGCACCTGGCCCGGAAGGCCCCTGCCCGGCGGCGGTGGCTCAGTGGTTGAGCCGCAACCTATGAACCAGGAGGTCAGGGTCGATTCCCGGGCACAGCAGGGATTTTTCAACAGCCGGTGTTTCTGTAAACGGAGGCCGGAGGCTGTTCCCGGACAGGCCCCGGGTTGCCCGAGAGGAGGGTGATGATGCAGCGATGGCCCCGGGGGAGGGAGAGCGGGGGGTTGGCCTTGAAAATCGGGAATGGATGGCAGGCAGAGACAGGGAAGTGTGGGAACGCGGGAGGGGAGCCAGGGACCTGAGCTGGCCGCCTTCGCGGGGGACGGGTGGCAGGCGCGGCCGAGGTTCAGCCTGCGGGGGAGCCAGGAGAGATGTCACCCTTAAAAGCCTTTCTGGCGAGGGATGCGTTCTCTCGGTGGTGGAGACCTCGTGTGCCTCGGGGAGGCGTGTGGAGGGAGGGACGCCGGCGGCGGGTCGCGACTCGCATGTCAGTCCCAGCTCCCGGAGCCGATGAGCCACCGGACTGGAGCCCAGCCCTCCCTCTCCTGAGAAGAGAAGGGAGGAGACAGGCCTCAGGCTGGCTGTCAGCAGAGACCTGGCAGCGCCTACTGCATCACTTACGAGCAGGGCTCGAGGGCGTGACCCGGGGCCACTGAGAAATGGGGCTGTTTGTGTGTGTGTGCCTGTGCCTATGCATGCGTGAGCTTGTGTGTGCATGTGTGCGTGTGCATGTTGCATGCATGTGTCTGTGTGTACGGATGTGTGTGCATGTGTGCCCGCGTGCATTGTGTTTGTGTAGGTGTGTGCAGGTGTGTGTGTGTGTGTTCCTGTGGTGTGCTTATGTGTGTGCCTATGCATGTTTGAATTTGTATGTGCATGTGTATGTTTGTGTGTGTGCCTGCTTGTGCATGTGTGTGTATGCCTAGACATGTGTGTGCCGGTATGTGCTTGCACTTGTGTGTGCATGTATGGTGTGTGTGCGTTTGTGCATGCGTGCCTGTGTGTGTGTGTGTGTGTGTGTGTGTGTGTGTGTGTGTGTAAGCCATGGTTTGCAGGTAAAAGGCCTCGGCAGGCCCTGGGCGTCCCGTGCAATCCTCATTTCCCATCACCTGTTACTCCACCGGCACCTGCCAGGCCACCAGGGGCAGCAGGTTTAGTCCCGCCTCCTGCACGGCTCCCCCGATGCACACGTCGCACGTAAATTCACTGAGCGAAAATTTAACAAGTGGATGGGATAAACAAGACCCAAACTGCATTTTGGGAGCTGAATTACACTTGCAAATGGCCCTGAACAAAAGCTTCCTTCCAAGCTCCTGAATGGGCTCGTCCTGAATGGGCTTACACGTCGTTGATCAACACATGGGAAATGGTCCTCTTCCCCTGGGGCTGGCCTGGATAAAAAGGGGGGGCTCTAGTTCCCAGAGCAGCATCAGCCGTGTCCTCTTGGGGTGCACTGTCTGCCTCTTGTCCCACAGGAGGTGCCAATAAATCTTTGTTGGATGAGAGGCCCCCAAACCTAACTGGTCCGCCCAAGAGAAATGACAATATATACGTCACACCGAGACGTATATGTGAGGGTTCCTGGCGGCATGAGTCACAGGAGCCAGAAACTGGGAGCAACACACGTGTGTCTCCAGGGACTAATGGCTGCACACAGCGCAGGCTGCCTGCCATGCGGAATGACGGCGCTGCCCGGCCAGGGTGGCTCAGTGGTTGAGCATCGACCCATGAACCAAGAGGTCGCTGGTTTGATTCCTGGTCAGGGCACATACTTGGGTTGTGGGCTCGATCCCCAGTAGGGGGCCTGCAGGAGGCAGCCAATTGATGATCCTCTCTTACCGAAGTTTCTCTCTTTCTGCCTGTCCTTTCCTCTCTCTCTAAAAAAAGTAGATAAAAACATATTAAAAAGAAAAAAAGAAAGACTGGCACAGGCTACAGCATGGGTGAACCCCGGTGCCATTATGATAAGTGAAGGAATCGGGTGCAAAGGCCTGCATGGTCTGTGAGTGTCCAGAATCGCCAAACCTGCCGAGGTAGAGACCAGATTGGTGGTGGCTGGGAGCTGGGGTAGACATGGGGCATGATTGCACACGGGCATGAGGCTCATCGTGAAGTGATGGGATGTTCCAAGACGGGGTAGTGGGGATGGCTTCACCCTTCCGTTAATTTACTAAGAACCATGAACTGTGCTCCTCCAACGAGTGACGTTTTTAAAAATATATTTTGATTGATTTCAGAGAGGAAGGGAGAGGGAGAGAGAGAGAGAGAGAGAGAGAAACATCAGTGATGAGGGAGAATCATGGATCACCCGCCTCCTGCACGCCCCGCGCTGGGGCTCGAGCCCACAACCCGGGCATGTGCCCTGACGGGGAATTGAACCCTGACCTCCTGGTTCAGAGGTCAATGGTCAAGCGCTGAGCCATGCCAGCCGGGCAAACAGACGGTCTTGAATCAAGATTTCGCCTCATAGAGTTAAAGGGTGTCCCAAAATTCACGCAAGATTTGAATTTTGCGTGAGCATTTACAACAACAACAAATAAAAGCCTAATTTTACTTGGTTTATTGAATCAGATTCTAATATCTGTTGCCGTTTGATTTCAATCCCTTCCATTTGATAAGCATGACCAAGTACCAATGATGGCCCAGGAGCAGGGACAATGAAGACCAATGAAGACCACGGCTTTGCCTATGTGCCAGCAAAGCCGTGGAGGCCGTTGACCCGATGTGCTATTCCATACATAACCCTATACTGTATACTTTATGGATCAATAAAAATTTACAATCTTTAATTATCAACCTGTGTTTTCTATCAGAATTACTTCTTGCGTGAATTTTGGGACACCCTTTAGTACGTTCCAGAAAGCAAGATAATGCAACACCTGGTTTAAGGCTGTTACAGCTGCTGAAAGCTTTACTTAAAGTTTAAACAAAATAGAGTAAGTTTGACCCCGGTGTATTCTGTCCTCCCCGCCTCACCCCTGGAGTGGAGACGCCCTCCTAGCGCCGTGGGCCCCGGGGCTGCAGGCCTGGTGCCAGGCCAACGGGAAAGGCCAGCCCGCCGGCTCCGGGGAGTCCCCATCCGCCCCTGGTTGCCCCCGACGCAAGGCACAGCTCTGTTTAAGTTTCCGGCTGACCGACACGCACACAATCCGGAATGAAAAGCAAACAGAGGGAAAGAACGGGGGCCGCCGTGCCGTGGTCTGTGGGAACGGGCGCCCCAGAGCCTGCTGCGGGCTGCGGGCTGCTTTCCAGAAGTTACACGCCCGGGGGTGCGCGGCCCGGCCTCACCCAGCGCCAGCTGCCCGCCGCGGTTTCTAAGTAACGCTCCGAAGTGGGAGGAAGGCTGGCCGGTGGCAGGCAGCCAGTTAGAGCAAATGAAGAGAGAAGAGGGCCCTGGCCGGTGTGGCTCAGTGGATAGAGCGCCGGCCTGGGGACTGCAGGGTCCCGGGTTCGATTCCGGTCAAGGGCACGGCACCTCGGTGGCAGGCTCCTCCCCGGCCCGGGCCCTGGTCGGGACGCGTGCAGGAGGCAGCCCATGGATGCGTTTCTCTGACATCGATATTTCTCTCTGTCTTTCCCTCTCTCTTCCACTCTCCCTAAAAATCAATGGGAAAATACCCTCAGGTGAGGGTTTTAAAAAGAGATAAGAGGGAGCCCAGCCAGTGTGCTAAGTGGTTAGCGCCACCCAGGCTGAGAATCTCGGTATCTGTGCCTTTAAGTACCGGACAGGCAGGGGCTTTGGGGCAGGTCCCGGGAGCGTTCAGAGGTCCAGGTGTGAGCCCTCCTCAGGTGGGAACCCAGCCCCCAGCACCGCCCCGACCCAGGCCCAGGAGCACAGCAGCACCCGGAGCCCACGCAGGCTACATGCTGACCCTCCAGCCGTCTGTGTGTCCTGGGGGGATGGGGGTGGCATCCCAAGACCAAGGCCGCGCACACAGGCCACCTGTTGGGATGCAGATTCAGGGGCTGGGGTTGTGGGTGGGGCCTGAGATTGTGCCTTTATTTCCAACAAGCTGGGGTGGGGGTGGTGGGGGTGATGCTGCCGCCCGTAGGCCACACGTGGGGGTCAGGGTTCTGGAGATGAGGAACACCCAAGAAAATGTCTCTATTTTTATTTAATTTTATTTTATTGTTTAAAGTATTGCAGGTGGTAGTACATATGTCTCCTTTTTTCCCCCCCATTGACCTTCCCCCGGGTTCCCCTAAAATGTCTCTATTTTTTAAAATATATTTTTATTGATTGCAGAGAGGAAGGGAGAGGGAGAGAGAGAGAAGCATCCATGATGAGAGAGAATCATGGACCAGCTGCCTCCTGCACGCCCCACACTGGGGATGGAGCCCGCAACCCGGGCATGTGCCCTGACCGGGAATCGAACCGTGACCTCCTGGTTCCTAGGTCGAGGCTCAACCACTGAGCCACGCCAGCCGGTCGGTCAGGTGATGACATCTATTTAAGTGTCCTTTCAGGAAGCTGCCAAAGGCCCCTCCTGTGTCCTCCTGGGCGGCTGGCCATGACCCTGGTCTGTTTTGTTTCAAAAAGCTGCCTCCACACACCCTGTCCCTCCCCTTCCCAGGGTGTCTAGCCTTGGCCTTGACCATGGCTGTGGGTGGGGTGGGTGCCCCGTTCTGGGGAGATGTGGAGCCCGCTGACCTGAGCGCCTTCTCTCCGCAGGGGAGGAGCGCCCCCGGGAGGGCCCGGCCCCCGCGGAGGCCCCGGCGGCGGCGGCGGGGTCGGAGGCCGGGCGCGGGAGCCGCCGCTGCTGCCGCTGCTCGGGGCCGCGGCTGCGCAAGCTGGGCTGGGGGCTGGCGGTGGTGCTGAGCGTGTGCACCTCCTGGGCCGGCGCCACGCAGCTCGCCAAGCGCACCTTCCGGACCTTCGACGCGCCCTTCACCCTGACCTGGTTCGCCACCTCCTGGAACTGCCTGTTCTTCCCTCTGTACTACGTGGGCCACGCGTGCAAGGCCCCGGAGCGGCCGTCGGTGAGGCAGCGGTACAGGTGGGTCTCCCACGGGGGCGGGGGGGCTCCTGGGGCAGGGCTGGGACAGACCTGACAATCAGGGGTCCCCCGATGTCTTAGTGGGACGGCCGAATTCTCCCCCCACCCCCCTGCCCGCCCTCCTCTGGGGTGGTGAACACCCGCTCCTCCACCTCCAGGCCTCCCCTCTTTCCTTCCCCCCCACTCACCCCCCCAGCCCTGGGAGCTCCTTTATATGAAGCAGGAGAGGCAGGGGGCATCTTCTAAAATGGCCTAGAGCAGCGGTCGCCAACTGGTGGTCTGTGAGGTCCGAAAGATTGGTGACCACTGGCCTAGAGCATGTCCGGCTGGTGTGGCTCAGTGGTGGAGCGTCAACCTAGGAACCAGGAGGTCACGGTTGGATTCCCGTCAGGGCACAGGCCCGGGATGTTACCTTGATCCCCAGTGTGGGGCGTGCAGGAGGCAGCCGATCCATGATTCTCTCTCATCACTGATGTTTCTCTCTCTCTCCCTCTCCCTTCCACTCTGGAGTCAATAAAAATATTTTTTAAAATAGCCTGGGGCAGGTCCCCAGAGAGGGTGGGAGTGGGGCGCTCTGGCTCCAGCCGGCTCCTCGGGATGGGGAGTCGGCGGAGCCGGGTGACGGTGGCTCTCTCTGGCTCAGATCTGTCCCTTGCAAGGACCCGATGACTCATTCCCCTCCCAACCCAGGCACCCCCCTCGCGTGTCTGAATACCCTGCATGTGACTGTCACACTCAAAGCCGCGTCTGGCCTTCACTGACTTTATTTTCTCATACGGAGTCCACTGGTTTGCTGTCCTTTCAAAAAGAGGCTGCCCGGCCGGCGTGGCTCAGTGGTTGAGCGTCGACGTAGGAACCAGGAGGTCACTGTTCGATTCCCGGTCAGGGCACAGGCCCGGGTTGTGGGCTCGATCCCCAGTGTGGAGCGTGCAGGAGGCAGCCGATCCATGATTCTCTCTCATCATTGATGTTTTCATCTCCCTCTCCCTTCCTCTCTGAAATCATTTAAAGGAAAGGTGTAATCAGAGCACTGCTTTTATTTTTTTAAATTTTTTAAAATATATTTTTATTGATTTCAGAGAGGAAGGAATAGGGAGAGAGAGATAGAAACATCCATGATGAGAGAGAATCATGGATCGGCTGCCTCCTGCACACCCCCTCCTGGGGATCGAGCCCACAACCCGGGCATGTGCCCTTGACCGGAATCGAACCTGGAACCCCTCAGTCCGCAGGCTGACACTCTATCCACTGAGCCACACCGGCGAGGGCCAGGGCACTGCTTTTAGAAGAAGGGTCCTGGTGGGGCTTGGTTAGCCACAGGCCAGCCTCACACACACGCCCCCCAGGGAAAAGGATTCCAAGTGGCTGCCGGAGGCCAGGCCCGCAGGAGCCTGGAACCAGACCCGGAACCGAGCCGGCCTGGGCAGGCTCAGGGTCAGCTTAGCCAGAAATTGCTAGAGAGACACGCAGTGTACCTCCTGTGAACAGCGGCCAGACACAGGCAGGGACTAAGAGGGTAGGAAACTGTGATAGGCCCCCAGATCGCCCTGAGGCCAGAGGGAAATGCTGGGCTGCTCTTCGTCACAGAGGAAAGCGGTGTATTTTACAGTTAAGTGGACCTAAGCGAGTTTAATTTGTAATTGGGAGTTCTGGCTAGGATCTGCTGCTGCTGCTCAAACAAAACAGTGGGCGTATGGGCCCTTCTTTCTTCTTCTTTTTTTAATATATATGTTTTTATTGATGTCAGAGAGGAAGGGAGAGGGAGAGAGAGATAGAAACATCCATGATGAGAGAGAATCACGGATCGGCTGCCTCCTGCACGCCCCCCACTGGGGATCGAGCCCACAACCTGGGCATGTGCCCTTGACCGGGAATGGAACTGTGACCTCCTGGTTCATAGGTCGATGCTCAACCACTGAGCCACGCCGGCCGGGCTGAGCTATTTTATTTCTAACGGGGGCCACAGAGCAAAGGGACTTTCTGGCATCTGCGTTGTTCGTTATGACATTCCTCATCGGCCTACCTCCGCTCGGGAATTGAGGGCCTGTGGGAAACGCAACCACTGGACATGACGATGCCTCGTTTTTAAAGCAAAATCAGGCCAAATCCTCTTTCTATACAAAGCATCCGTGCTGAATGCTTCACAGAGTCACCAGACACAGTTTATCTACTCCAGGCACGAGCCAGAGCAGGCTGGGCCACCTGCCCAGACACCCGCCGGCCAGTCCTCTAAACCAGCGGTCGGCCGCCAACCGGTGGCCCGGGGACCACTGGTGATCCGCGAGGTCCGAAAGGTTGGCGACCGCTGCACCCCTGCAGGCCGGGGGCTGGGCGGGTTAGGGTCTGCCGAGGAGGGTCCCTGGGAAATTTCAGAGGTGTTTTCCAGCTGAGGTCACCGTACCCCAAGAGACACCCAGCTATTCGTGGGTCCCCTGTAACCACTCTCAGGCGTGGAAAGGGCATGATGGTGGGGTGGCCACACCCCATTCCTTCTGGTTGAGTCGGTCACAGGAGGCAAAGGTCAGATGGGCCAGAAGCAGCCGCCTTTTGTGACGTCTGTGCAAATCCCATTCTTGGGCCTTTTCTCAGTAGAATGATTGTAATTGCATTTCCCTCGTTGGCTGTTGCCTGCGTTAAGCGGAGCAAAAACAAAATGATTTGTGTACTCAGCGTCCCCGCTCAGGAGCACGTCGGGAACCTTCCTCGCGCTTCCTGTCTGAGTGCCTGGCTTTATGGCGCTCGCGTTTAATGAGTTCCTCTCAATCACACATGCATTATTAATTTATAAGAAAATAAATTAAAAGCCCTGGGAGCTACAGCTCCCTTGCCGCAGGAACGTATCGTCAGAACCATTTCGTGGCATTATTTGCTGCTTGTTGCTCTTGGGTTTGGGGGGAAGGATGGGAATTTTTTCAAAGAAAGGCTTTAAGCCGGGCCGTTATGGCTCAGGGGTTGAACATTGAGGTGTGTGAACCAGGAGGTCATGGCTCGATTCTCGGTCGGGGCACATGCCCGGGTTGCGGGCTCCATCCCCAGTAGCGGGCGTGCAGGAGGCAGCCTATCGAATCTCTCATCATTGATGTTTCTCTCTCCCTCTCCCTTTCTCTCTGAAATCAATGCAAATATATTTTTTAAAAAGAAAGAAGGGCGTTAAGTACCCACCAAAGAAGGGGGACAGGCTGGTTAATATTTCATTATGAATTAGTGTTGGGGTGTTGGTCTTTCAAATGGTTCATTTTGAGCGTCCGGTTTGGTGAATTTTTGTAAAAGTTGGGTGAGCGCTGGTGTGTTTAAGCTCAGACAATGCCCTTGTATCCTGGTAAAGACGTTTCCTCCACGCGGTGGGGAGCAGAGAGAATGACGCTGAGGGTGGCCTGAGGGATATGAGGACATTTGCATTTTGCAGAATCCGTTTTGGGGGGCAGGTGAGGCTAAGTAGATCTTCCTTAGAGAGGAGGGAGGGAGCCACGCCCCCAGCTCACAGGAGTCCCACGTGGGTGGTGGGAGTAACAGCCACATAGAAATTCTATGAAAGAAAAGAGCCCGTTTACAAGCTCAACCCAAACCCCGTTAAGTCCCTCGTCATAAACAACAGGGTTTTATAGGGCCGCTGTGAAGAGAACATTCAACTCTGCTCAGACTCAACAACATCAACGTGTCAGCCTCCCCATGTGCATTTCTGAATTTAATGGGATCCCAGCGAAAACACCAAAAGCTTCGCGTTAGGCAGCGGACGAGGCAGCCCTGTAAAAAAGCCGCTCAGGGAACGAGCTGTTCCAGAGACCAACTGCTTGCCGGGAAGCCGCGGGGGTGAGGGCATGTGGGGCTGAGGCGTGTTATGAACATGTCTATAACTGGCATGTAGAAACACACCAGGACATCGGTGTGGGGCTGACATGTGTTATGAACATGTCTATAACTGGCATGGAGAATTCACCAAGACACCCAGCAGCAGCCCTGACGCACGGAGAGCTTTGGCATCTGACACGTGTGGGATCTCACACACAGTGAGAGGACACAGAGAGCTTCGGCCCGTGAATGAATCAAAAGTAGATCTTTTTTTATTTGTGGTCAGATCGGGGGAAAAATAATACAGGTTTTGGTGTGCCACAGAATTTTAGTGACCGGTTTATGTGGGCCATGGAAGGAAATGGGTTGACAGTCACTGGCGTAGCAGGATCATCTGAAGACATTTCAGCCTCAAGAACCTTCTGTGCTCCTCAGATAGCGTTTGACGCCCTTTGTTTTATTTTAAATTTTTATCTCTCATAACCTTCATCACCAAAAAGGTGTGATTGTGACATTTTACAGTTTCCCAGTGAAACCATATCAATTTAAGTTAAACACCCAAAGCATTGGCAGATTACATAGATAGATAGATAGATAGATAGATAGATAGACAAACAGACAGGTAGATAGACGACAGATAAATAGGGAGGTGATGGACCATATGCAATGACAAGGAAACACATCCAAGAACTATTGTTCAGTGAAAAAGCACAATAGCCCTAGCTGGTTTGGCTCAGTGGCTAGAGCGTCAGCCTGTGGACTGAAGGGTCCCGGGTTCGATTCCGGTCAAGGGCACATGCCCGAGTTGCGGGCTCGATCCCCAGTAGGAGGCAGCCGATTCTGTCTCTCTCTCTCTCTCTCTCTCTCTCTCTCTCTCTCCCTCTCCCTTCCTCTCTGAAATCAATAAAATATATATATATGGCAAGAAACTATAAGCCAGATGCATGCTGGGCACAGCTTCCGGCCAGAGCCGTCTCCTCCGTTGTGCGGACTCTGATCGAGGCGGAGTGGGACTGTTCTTATTCCCGGGTGGGGGATTTTCTGTTAGTCAGGCTGCTGTATTCAGTGACGTGTTTGTTTTGACGCCGATCTCCTTGCCTAGTGAGATCACAGCTGCAGGACAAAGCCAGGTTCACCCAGGCCCCTCTTGTTGAAAGCTCATTTTGACAGCGATGGCACGGCCGTGTTTTGAGGGCTTGTGGGAGAAGACGCTGGGGAAGGAAATGGTAATCTAGGTAAGTAGGGCAGGTGCCAGCGTTTGACCTTGAGACTGTGAAGGCCCCGTCTCCGGGAAGGTCGTGGGGATGGTGTGATTGAATGTTCTCAGGACTGTGGGCGGGCCCTTCCGTGCTGGTCACTGGGATGGCAGTTCCCGGGGCGTGGTGTCCCCAAGAACTCCCCGGGGGCTGGTTCAGGTGTGGGTTCCAGGCTTGTGTCTAGAGACTTTCGGGAACCTTCTGCCCAGAGGACCCCGGCTCTGAGTTTATAACGAGTGCCCGGTGCGCCCACACGTTCTGCGGGAGGCTGCTGTGGGGATTGAAAGCGAAACCTCACCTGTTCTTCAGCTTTTCTCACTTGGAGAAAAACTCCACCGGTTTAGACCGAAGGAGCGAGGCCTCCCTCCGTAACTCAGCTACCCGTTCAGTAATGACATCTGGGATGAAGGAAGAGGTCGCGGTGCTCCGTGAGCCCCGCTCAGGGTCCCTGGGAGCCCGCTGGACGGAGGTTTGGGTCTTGGATTCCAGTGTCCTTTGTTTGGGGTGTGGGGTGTGGGGTGTGGGTGGTGAAGACGAACCGGCCCAGGCTGGGGAGTGAACTGGGGCTTGGGGGGTATGGAATTCAGCGATCTGGGCACGATGGGCAAGTCTCTCATCCTAGAACCTCGCCTTTTTCACTTTCTGAGAGGGGAGAACTGAACCCCAAGTCACGTGAGGATGATTAGGTGACAGACTCGGGGAAGAAGCCCCGAACGTCAGCCCCTCGCTTCTCCCTCTCCGGCGCCTCCATCACAGTCGACCAGGAGCAGGGACAGGCTCTGACCGGCCACTTTCTGTGCCTGCCCCTCTCCTGTGGCCCCCAACATACACGGCGTGGTGCCCCTCGCAGGGACGCGGTTAACAATCAAAAGGGCAGTGTGGGCAACGTTCCTTTCTTTTACATGAGGCCAAGCCAAGGAAAATGGAAAGGCTTATGGAAAAATTTCTTTTTCTCTTAAAGACAAAAGTCATTTTGTGAAGTACCCTTTTGGCTAATGCAGTGCCAACCGGATCCTCTCCTCATGATTCCCCTTCCTGGCCCTCAGGAGGGCCCGTGGCATTGGAGGTTGGCAGACCCGGGACCCGAGGGTGCCAGAGGCCTCCCTCACCCCCATCCCCTCGGCCCGCTTCCTGCGGCGGGTCAGCCGGGGACACGGTGCGGCTTCAGGGACGGGTTCCAGAAGCAGGTTCTGCCTGTGGCCCCCAGCGGGAGGAGAGACCCCGGGCAGTTGCCAAGGCTCGGGCTCGGCCCCCACCTTCTCCTTCTCGCGCCCCCGGGTGGGGGCTGGGCCTCAGTCTGCATTAGGGAAGCAGGGTTGTTTGTGTCCTGACATTAGTTGGTTCAGTAGAGCTGATGAGTTAGTTTCCAGGCGAACGGCTGTTTGCCTACTGGGTTTGGTCTTGGGTCAACAGTGGGCCGTTGACATTTCCAGGTTGTCACAGTTTTGGGTTACAGTTCGTATTTGGAGCAGGTGTGCCCGTGGTCACGGGGCTTTGTGTTTGGTGGCTTTGCTGATGGGATCAAACCCACACCCACAGGATGTTGCTGGTGAAAGAGGAGTTGCTGGCCCGGCCGGCGTGGCTCAGGGATTGAGCGTCGACCTAGGAACCAGGAGGTCACGGTTCGGTTCCCGGTCAGGGCACATGCCCGGGTTGCAGGCTCCATCTCCAGTGAGGGGCGTGCAGGAGGCAGCCGATCCATGATTCTCTCTCATTGATGCTTCTATCTCTCTCTCTCCCTTCCTCTCTGCAATCAATAAAAATATATTTCAATCAATCAATCAATCTTGGCCAGCACGTGCCTCGGTTGGTAGGAACCAGTGGCTGGGGCCTTCCATCTGCCCAGGAATGAGGAGCGTTAGGCTGTCATATCAGTTAAGTGGAGATCAGTCAAGAGGACACCTCTTGTGCTCCCTTCCTTGTGCCCAAGAAGAGGTCTCTGGCAGGTGGACTGATGGTCTTTCTCTCTCTCGGGTTCCCTTGCAATCAAGGTCTATGTGGGCAAGGCAGCTGACGCGGGTGAGGGCACAGTTTTGCGTCTCCCGTCAGCACCAGGCTCACTAGCCTGGGGACAATTACCTTCCTCTCCTTAGAACTAAAATCTGCTCAGCGGAGCTGTAATCCCTCAAAGGGCCACCAGAGCTCTACTGGGCCCAGGAATCTCACCTCCAGGATGGATCCCCACGCCCCTCCCCACTTCCCATCAGCCACTTGGGCTGCCAGTACCCAGCCATGTCTGCACGCCCTTTCCCCCCATGTCTACATCCATCAAACTTTGCAGGAATCAAAGGCAGGTTCTTGGAGGGGGCGTAAGTTTCCGGTTGGCTTTGGATGGCTCCTGTCCCAACATGAGTCATTTTTTTGTAACAGTGAGTCAGAAGGAACTTGGAAATCCTACTTTGCACTGTGTTCCCGTAAGAAGGGTCAACCTCTTAGTTAAAAGAGGTTGACATTATTGGCACGATCCTTGCACCACCTTCTGTTGAAGCATCAGGGGCCAACCTGACGTGCACAGAGGGAATAACACGACATCAGATCATTGCGTGATGTTCTCTTCACTGCACATCCATAAATTATATCTGTAAAAGCCTAAGTGACCGTTAGGACCAAACAACCAGAACAACCCGTCGACCGGTCGCTATGATGCACACTGACCACCAGGGGGCAGACACTCAACACAGGAGCTGCCCTCTGGTGGTCAGTGCATTCCCACAGCCAACCTCCCGCGGCCGCTGCCCCCCTGCCAGCCAGCCCCCCCATAGGCCTCGATTGCCAGCCAAGCCGAGGGACTCCACCTGTGCACAAATTCGTGCACTGGGCCTCTAGTAATGATAAATAAAAAGCTCCCACCCTTCCTATAAGTGCTTTTTTAAAAAAAAAGACAGGGTGGCCCTGGCCCCTGTGGCTCAGTGGTTGACAATCAATCTATGAACCAGCAGGTTGTGGTTCGATTCCCGGTCAGGGCACATGCCCGGGTTGCAGGCTCGCTCCCCAGGGGGGGGCGTGCAGGAGGCAGCCGATCCATGATTCTCTCTCACCACGGATGTTTCTCTCTGTCCCCTCTCCCTTCCTCTCTGAAATCGATAAAAAACAAAACAACGAAAGAGAGAGACGGGCGTAGGAGAACGTGCGACGGTAATAACACTGCCTTCTCTCCTGTTTTAGGGAATGCTGTCGGTTTTTTGGAGGCAATGGCTTGACTTTGAAGGTGTTTTTCACCAAGGCAGCCCCGTTTGGTGTCCTGTGGACACTCACAAACTACCTGTACTTACACGCAATAAAGAAAATAAACACCACGGACGCCTCCGTGCTCTTCTGCTGCAACAAGGCGTTTGTGTTCTTGCTCTCGTGGATCGTTCTCAGGGACAGGTTCATGGGCGTGAGGGTAAGTCCTGGCTGCCCGCCTCCCTCCCGCGCTCATGCCGACCACCGCCCGCCCATCGGCTTGCTCGTTCGCTCCGTGCGCTGGCCCCCGAGCCCGAGCTGCTGGCCGCCCTCCTGCCGATCTGGCGGCGGCGAGGACCCCGGCACGGGGCCCCTGTTCTCCGTGTGCCTTGCAGACCTTCTTGCTTGCAAACCATACTCGACAAGCGCCCATGAAAGCACCTTCCATTTCAGGCTTCTCCACAAGCGTTCCCTGAAGCGCGTGCCCGTCGGGGACCCGGCCTGGGGAGGGCGTGTGGCCCTTGCCGGTGTGGCTCAGTGGATAGAGCGTCGGCCTGTGGACTGAAGGGTCCCAGGCTCGATTCTGGTCAAGGGCATGGACCTCGGTTGCCGGCTCAATTCCCAGCCCGGTCTGGGAATTGACAACCAATCATGTGTCTCTCGCACATCGATGTTTCTCTCTCTCTCTCTCTGTCTCTTCTCCTCCCTCCTATTCTCTCTCTAAAAAAAAGGGGGGAGTTTCCCTCGCATCCTAGAGCTGGTCTCGCCTGGCTGTCTTGGCCATGGGGCCAGTGTGGGCTGTGCTGCAGCCTCGGCACCAGACCCGGCTGAACCAAGGAGCAAGGAGGCGGCATCGGTGATGGACTTTCGGTCTCTAACCATCACCCCTCCTGGGAGAAGGCTGTGCCGGCCGCCTGACAGCTCCTGCTCTGAGTGGTGCTGGGTTTCCCTCGTCTCGTTTTTGGGAGCTCAGGGAGCTGGCGAGATCCGGGAGGCCCAGCAGCTGGCCCGGGAGACAGGCAGGGTCCCCTGGATAAACCGGTGGGGATTCGCACCCAGAACCAGGCCTGCCTGCTGCACAGGTTCTCCCAGAACCTTCCCCTGGGGTCATTTCCAGGGACTGAAGGGAGCTGACACTGCCCCCTGCTGGAGGGCTGAGGAACAAGCTTGAGTCTCCCAGACATAACGGTCTGGGAGTAGTTGGCAGAGAGGACTCGTGTTGTTAAGACAGTTACTCAGGTCACAAGGGCTGCGGTGCCAGAAGGAACAGGTGCAGATCACATGACCAGACCAGAAGGAACAGGTGCAGGTCACATGACCAGACCAGAAGGAACAGGTGCAGGTCACATGACCAGACCAGAAGGAACAGGTGCAGGTCACAAGGGCTGCAGTCCCAGAAAAAGCAGGTGCAGATCACATGACCAGAAGGAACAGGTGCAGGTCACATGACCAGACCAGGAGGAACAGGTGCAGGTCACATGACCAGACCAGAAGGAACAGGTGCAGGTCACATGTCCAGACCAGAAGGAACAGGTGCAGATCACATGACCAGACCAGAAGGAACAGGTGCAGATCACATGACCAGACCAAAAGGAACAGGTGCAGGTCACATGACTAGAGCAGGAGGAACAGGTGCAGGTCACGTGACCAGGCTAGAACCAACAGGCGCAGGTCAGACCGGAAGGAAGCCAACGTGTCTGGGACGTGCGGCCTCTTACGGCCTCAGGGGTGACCTGGGAGGATGGCCGGTGTCACCCGTGATGCTTCCGTGTGCTCTTCCCGGCTGTTCAGACTCAGGGACCCTAACGCAGCGGGGACTCCAGCCCAGCGTCAGGCTTGCGTCTCGGTTCCCCTGCGAGCTGTCGAGCCTGGAGCCGGTCACTTCCCGTCTCTGAGCCTCAGCCACCTCGTTCCACACTAGCCGTTCACGCTCACCTTCTAGAACCGTTCTGGGGAGAAGGTGAGGCAGGCCTGGCCCGTGGAACTCAGGGGGTGGGTCTCTGTGTCGGTGAGAGGGCCCGAGGGGTCCCCCGCTTCTCCGGTTGGCGGTTGGCGGTGGCAGAGGCCTCCCCCGTTTCAGGAGGCAGTTTGGGGCAGAGGGAGCGGCCACAGCGGGAGAGCGTGGGGGCTCCGGGGCACGACCTCCGGCCCCTCCTAGCGCGAGGCCCACGGGCTGTGGCCAGGCGCTGGAGGGGGGAAGGGACTGGGGGAGCCAGCCCAGCCCGCGGCTCAGGGGAGGCGGGAGTGGGGGCGTCCGGCTGCACCCACTGCCCGCGCTTTCCAACCAGGAGAGGCTAACGAAGGAGCGAGAGGCCCAGCTGAGGCTGTGGGCTTTTCTCTTTCTTTTTTTAAAAAAAAATATATTTTTATTGATTTCAGAGAGGAAGGGAGAGGAGAGAGAGAGAGAGAGAAGCATCCATGATGAGAGAGAATCATGGATCGGCTGCCTCCTGCACGGCCCACACTGGGGATCGAGCCCACAACCCAGGCATGTGCCCTGACCGGGAATCGAACCGTGACCTCCAGGTTCCTAGGTCGACGCTCAACCACTGAGCCACACCAGCCGGCTGCCTGCTCTTTTGTCAGTTCCTGTTCTCTTGTTGGGAAAATCGCTGTTAACTCGCTGCCTCTTTCTCTTAACGAAGAGTTGTACGCGGTACACGTGGTGTTTGAACATGCAATACATACGTGATGTGTGAAGTGGCTAAAACGACTAATCCCGAGAGGTGGGCAGACAGACGGGGGCGTGTCTCTGCGGAGGGTCCCCGCCCCTCTCGGGAGCCTCTGTGTTAGGTGCCGATGTGTCGTCTGGTGAGACTGTGGCGGGAGGAACACACTGGAATACGTCTGCCACGCAGGCACTGCCTGAGCCTAAACTGTGTCACCTTCACTAGCAACTCGACATCTAAACCGCCAAGGACGCTTGGAGTCAAATCGCAAAATGCAGTCGGCGGTGGCTCGCTATGTGAGTCATACTTTCCTGTTTGTGTAAATATAGACACTGACTTTGCAGGCTGACCGGCCCGCACGCTGCCTCCCTGCTCTGCCACGCACCTGCTGTGTGACTCGGGGCAACTTCCTTCACCTCTCTGAACCCGTTTTCATGTCTATAAATGAAATGTGTGAAAATACCTCTCAACGTTGAGGGTTAAATGAGAAAATGCATAGGAGACACTTATGCCAGGACGGCTCCCTACATGTGAGCCGGGTGAGTGTGAGAGAGAGCAGAGGTCAGCTTTGAATGACCCGTAGAGCGAGAAAACACTCCGTAAACCCAGGGTTGAAACTTGCATTGCACACGTTGGTCCTGCGCTCCCCATGCCCACACCCCACCCCCCCCCAGCGACTCTGCTGGGGCTCCGTGACCCCTCAGATCAGAACTTGGACTTCCCGCCCAGATGGTGTGGCTCAGTGGTTGGGCATCGACCTATGAACTAGGAGGTCACGGTTCGATTCCTGGTCAGGGCACATGCCCAGGTTTCGGGTTCCATCCTCAGTGTGGGGCTGCAGGAGGCAGCCGATGGATGATTCTCTCTCATCATGGATGTTTCTCTCTCTCTCTTCCTCTGTCTTCCTGTCTGAAATCAATACAAATATATATTTTTTAAAAGAACTTGGACTTGTCCTTGGAGCTGGCACACTTCTCCCTGGGGAGCTGTCCCAAAGTCACCATCCCCCGTGCACTCCGATGCTTTCCTTTGCACGACGGGCGTGTGAGCATCTCCCTGGCCCTCCCCTCCCACCTGCGGCCTGTGCCCGCCAGAACAGGGTGGAGGGAGCCATGAGGGAGGGCCCTGCAGCAGCTGAGAAGAGAGTCGGCACCTCTCGGGCTAGTGCCCCGTCTGTGGCCTTGCAGGCAGAGACACACGCCCCATCGGAGCACCCTGCAGCGGGCGTGTGACACGGGCCCTGATCTGCGGACCTCACAGGCCCGGCTGTCGGGATGCAGAGAAGCGAGACCATATGAGGTGCCGTCAGAGGGCTGGGAAGGAGCGGGGTGGTCACCGCCAGGTGCTGTCCCATCTACCCAGGAGCAAAGATTTAGAGGAGGCAGCCTTGGCTTGTTGCTCAAAGAAGGAGCGAGCCCTGGCTGGTGTGGCTCAGTGGATAGAGCGTCGGCCTGTGGACTGCAGGGCCCTGGGTCCCATGCCCGGTCAGGGCACATGCCCAGTTTGCAGGCTCGATCCCCAATGCGGGGCGTGCGGGAGGCAGCCGATTGGTGGTTCTCTCTCATCTTTGATGTTTCTCTCTCCCTCTTCCTCTCTGAATTTTTTAAAGGATTGAAAAGGAGGCCCATTCCCCTCAGCTCGCGAGCTCTCGGGAACATTCGGCCTCTTTGGCGCGCAGGGTCCCTGGGTCCGTGCCCGCCCTGACCTCCGCCTTCCTCCCCTGCAGATCGTGGCCGCCATCCTCGCCATCGCCGGGATCGTGATGATGACCTACGCCGACGGCTTCCACAGCCACTCGGTCATCGGCATCGCGCTGGTGGTGGGCTCCGCGTCCATGTCTGCGCTCTACAAGGTAAGGCGGGTGCTCGGGAGCCTCCCGCCGTGAGGACCCGGGCCTCGGCGTGGCCGCCTGGCTGGACGCGGGGACCTCGATGGTGCCTGGGCCTTAGGACCTCTGTCCCCGGTGCCTGAGCTCCGGGCAGCCTTGGCTCCAGCTCCCCAGACCCTCCCATTGGTGGCCAAACCTTTGTAGCATTTGGGGTAAAGTGGGTGGGGCCATGGGTCTTCAGGGTGACACTGGTGATGTCATCGTTCAGCGAAGAATGGGGAAGGTCAGGGACCCTCAATGGCCGGCTCAGTGTTTGGTGAGATAATTTCCCACCAGATCGGACAGGGTGCGGCTTTGTCATTTAAATTTTTTAAAATATATTTTTATTGATTTCAGAGAGGAAGGGAGAAGGAGAGAGAGAAACATCCATGATGAGAGAGAATCATGGATCGGCTGCCTCCTGCACGCCACCCACTGGGATGGAGCCTGCAACCCAGGCATATGCCCTGACCAGGAATCGAACCGTGACTCCTGGTTCCTAGGTCAATGCTCACCTACTGAGCCCCGCCGGCCTGGCCAGAGATGGATTCCTAGGGTCCCCAAGAGGTGTGTGTGATCCTGGCTGATGCTTCTCACTCGTGTGGCTGCCTCGTCTTCACCCTGAAGCTGGGGTGCAGTGTTGTGAATGCAACGCGGACAAGTGTGAAGCCACGATTCGTGAGGGGCTCCCTCTCCAAGCAGCTGGAGAGGAACTCCACTGTGATGTCACTGGATTTGTGATGTCACTGGATTTGTGATGTCACTGGATTTGTGATGTCACTGGATTTTCGATGTCACTGGATTTGTGATCTGGGCGGTGAGCGCCGGTCTGACCGCCCTTCCCTGCAGGCCTGGTGGTGGGACCCGCTGTCAGGTGGCTCCGTCCTGCGGTCCAGCCCCAGCTCAAGGGCCTCCCCGGAGCCCAGCTGGGCCAGCGGGGTCTGCAGCCTCTCCGCTTCCCCGCAGGTTCTCTTCAAGCTGCTCCTGGGCAGCGCGAAGTTCGGAGAAGCCGCCTTATTCCTGTCCGTCCTGGGCGTGTTTAACGTCCTCTTCATCTCCTGCGTCCCCGTCGTCCTGTACTTCACCCGCATCGAGTACTGGAGCCCTTTCTCCAACATCCCCTGGGGGCACCTGTGCGGATTCTCCGTCCTCCTGCTGAGTGAGTAGCGCACGGGCCCGGTCCCCGCCCGCGATCCCCGCCCGCAGTCACTGGGGAAAACACTGCCTGTATATAACAAACACCCACATTCAACTCCCTGCTTTCCTTTTTATTTTTTAAAAATATATTTGTATTGATTTCAGAGAGGAAGGGAGAGGGGAGAGAGAGAAACATCGATGATGAGAGAGCATCATGGATCGGCTGCCTCCTGCACGCCCCACACTGGGGATCGAGCCCACAACCCGGGCATGTGCCCTGACCGGGAATTGAACTGTGACCTCCTGGTTCGTAGGTTGACGCTGAACCACTGAGCCACGCCGGCTGGACGCTGGTAACGTTTATTGAACACCGATAAGTGTCAGAGTTCAATAAATATGATCACCTCTTATCATCATGAATGTCATTGTCATCGTTACTTGATAAAAGGCTGGTCTGGTGCGAGGCAGAAATGCAACCAGGAGGTGCCTCTTCATTTCAGTCTGAAAATGCAGACCCCAGCCCGGCCAGCGTGGCTCAGATGGCCGACCTAGGAACCAGGAGGTCACGGTTTGATTCCCGGTCAGGGCACGTGGCCCAGATGTGGGCTTGATCCCCAGTGTGGGGCGTGCAGGAGGCAGCTGATCCATGATTCGCATCATTGACGTTTCTCTCCCTCTCCCTCCCTCTCTGAAACCAATATAAATATGTTTAAAAATAAGAAATAAAAATGCAGACCCCAGGACCCTTGCTCACACAGTCAGCCCCGCGTCCCTGCCACCCAGACGGGGAACAAAGGGTGAGGAGGCCTGTCCTCTTTTCCGGCGCCTTCTCACTGGTCACCTTTACTACATTTCTCTTCCTTCTTCAGGGAAGGAGGGGAGCTGAGCCATCAGGAAAGTCGTTCTTAATCCCCACATCCCAGACCCCCCCCCCCCGCCCCCCCGCCCCGAGTTCACGGGGTCAGAGCCGAGGGCAGTGATCCGTGGAGCTGGGGTCAGACGGACCCCACGGAGGCTGGCCAGGGCCGGTCACGAATAACCGCTTCTTACTCTCCCGTTTCAGCGTTCAATGTCGTGTTAAATTTTGGAATTGCTGTCACCTACCCGACTCTGATGTCTCTCGGGATCGTCCTCAGTGTGCCTGTGAACGCAGGTGAGTCTCTGCTTGGCTGTAGACAGACACACGCATGCGCATTCATCGACACGCACACGCTCCCACACACACAGCACAGTGGGAGCCTGCGTCCTCACCCCAGATCGCTTGTCTCTTCTGTCATTTTGGGAGGGACCAAGTATTTATATTTATTATCTGCACAAGTCCCGTTCAGGTTTGGTCTTCAAAACGTAGTGATGTGCATGCATGATGGATGAAATAATGCTCTTCAATTCTAAGAATAAAGCATGTTGTCGTAGAAAACATGGAAAGTACCAAAAATTTAAACGATCATGTGTTCATTGTCCTGACACCCACCGGTGGCCACAGTCAGGCTTTGGTTTATACAGGGTGGGGCCAGAGTAGGCCTATGGCTGTGAGCAGGTCACACAGCGTTTATTCTTGTGTGATTATTTAGTAATTTAATTATTGTCTTCTTTTTTCTTTTTCTTTTAAGGGAGAGGGAGAGAAAGAGAGAAACATCAACGATGAGAGAGAATCATTGATGGCCTGCCTCCTGCACGCCCCACACTGGGGATGGAGCCCAAAACCCGGGCATGTGCCCTGAGCGGGAATCGAACCCATGACCTCCTGGTTCATGAGCTGACTCTCAACCACTGAGCCACACCGGCCGGGCAATTGTATTAATTTTCATAGGAACAACTGTCAACCTATGTTTGCCCTCCCCCTGTCTGTTTGCCTAACAAATCCGTGTCTGAACCGAGGTGAGTTGGGGGAATCAACTACAAGTTCAAGGCCTCCCACCAGAGGGAGTGAAGGGTGATGTGCCTGAGGCAGCCCCTGCCACTGGGCACAGAACCAAAGTAAGGAAGGTTCTGCCTTAGCCAGTTTGGCTCAGTGGATAGAGCGTCAGCTTGTGAACTGAAGGATCCTGGGTTCGACTCCGGTAAAGGCACATGCCCG